AGATTTCTGTTTGCTGAGACTGAAGTGTTTCTGGGAATGCAGGTCTTTTCAGTGCTAAAATAAGAACAGTCCCTCCACCATTCGGATCTGCCTAGGACTGAGTGGTTCCTGGGATATGAGACTTTTGGCACTAAAACCAGAAAATCCTAGGCAAAGCTGGACAAGATGGACATTCCATAACATGGATAACAGAATTGCATATGAGAAGCATGGAATGAACTATAGTAGGTATTGTCACATGGATGACTTGGAAGCCACATAGCTAAAGATGAGTGGCTTAAACATGAGTTTGACAGGAAAAGTTTCAGGATCATATTTTCCAAACTAAAGCAAATGGATGGAGGTAAACTTTTGCATCCAACAAAGACCCATGGGTTATTAGGATATGTAACTGCAGCACCAGAACCTTACATGAAATTTAGTGCTGAAAGATAAAGGTTAAGAATTACTCTCCCAGAAGTTATATAAACGGCAGTACATACATAAGACAGAATACAATGTCCCCATTTAAAAGTATGGTAACAAAGAATCTTAAAGCCAAGGGAAAATGCTACTTAAGGGGAAAAATCAGGCAGTAAAATGGTAGCTATCATTTTGAGGTAGTAGGATCTCAACCATGTCAGGAAAGTGTGCAGCAATAAAGGCTAGGAGAGAAATATGCTACAATGTTATTTTGGTTACTTCTGGATGGTGGGATCATGCATGGATGATGTTTTCCTTCTTCTTGATTCTTGTCCGTAACTCCCAAATTTCTACATTACCATGTAATCAGCCAATAAACAAAATAAATAAATGAGGGGAACAAGAAGACTTCTCCATGGTGGACATGTTAGAGGAGAATCACCCAACATGGGAGGTGCTGAGAGGTGTGGACCTTTCCCAGGGAAGACTCTCCAGCATGCAGCTGTGGGGAAAGACATCCGGGCACCTTTGACTGGGGCTGAACAGAACACAGAGGACTACGCCACTGCCAGGAAGGAGGTGGGGCTCACGTTTTCCTCAGACAACCTGTGGCAACAAGGGAGGGATCTCATTTCTGCTATAACCAACCATTGCCTGATTTTGCAGAGACTGCTGCTCTGGCTATATTGTTGCCGCCATCTGCCAACTTTGTTGAAAACTTAACCGGGAAGCTTGGCTGGACAATGTAGTTGGATATAGGACAGTGTAGTTGAGATTTAAAAGTATCTCTTTTGACCATTTATATAGCCTAGCTTTGGAGTCAATTTAGTTATGCAACATTAAAGGGGTAGATACTCATGGAAGGCTGTGGAGGTGGGGTGGGGGTGGGAGGAAGTGTCCCGTTTAAGTATCCCAGATGCTCTAGCAGGACCTTGGGAACTTTTGGAGAAACGTCTTCATGTAGGTGCAGGTGGGACTTTTCTGATGTCCACTTATATTCTTGCCCTCAGGGCTCCACTGACACTCTGATCTCCCTTGAAGGGGACAGTAGTACCCATAGTTGGCCATATTCCTTGCTGTAAAACCCAAGGCATTAACCAGAAGAGGGACTGGATATATGTGTGAGTTGGAAGAATGGCCATAGAGGCTCATTATCCTTCACTGTAACTTCAGAGAAGGGCTCTTTGATATGTATCAAAATTATAATATGGGGAATGAAAAACTTCCAGTGGAGTGTGGTTTTGGAAGGACAGGAACAAAGATGTCCATGGTTTCTTTCTTCTGGTTGAGTTCCCTCCTCCAGTATCACCTGTATTATTAGTAAACTCAATGCAAGAAAGCTAAGCATGGCAATGGGAAGAGCAAGGAACAGAAAATAAAGAAAGATTAGTTTAAACTGGTCCAAGTTTAAAGCTAGTTTAAAGCTAAAAAAGAAGGTAAAGGAAGTCTGAGTTATCTTCATTGTCTAGTTGAGCTCACCAGAATAAGAGAGCCAAAATGGATTTGAGGCAGAAGCTTATAAGTGTGAATAAAGACTGCATTTTCTTAACGTATTTTCTGTGTCACATTAATCTTGGGAACCAAGTGTAATAGCAGGCAACTGACAAGAGTCTTGGTGTAGTGTTGTGGAGGAAACCCAAGCATCTGAGAAGTATAACTAGCCTTGCAGCTTTCTTTTCTTTATCCTACTACTGCCATTGTTTGCACATAAAAGAGGTCAGAGTCAGTAGAAAGAAGGGTGGCCTGAGAAGTCCCCAGTGAACTGCCCTTCTTTTAAAAAGGCAGTATGATAAAGTCATTCATCATGGGATAAGATTTTAAGCTGAGCTTCCTCGTCAGAGCACATTATTTTCGCTTATTTCAAATGTAAATCCTTCTGACTGTTTTTCTTCTCTAAGAATACTTTACATCTCTAGCCCTGCCTACCACTGCTCCCCAGCAAGAATCATCTACTTCAGCCAAGCTGTTCACCTTAGTGCCCCCCAAATATACTGTAAACATCCCCACCAGCAGGCTTTTCTCAAATTCACCCCCCTGCCTAGTCCATCCTTCTCTCTTGGAAAATCAGACTCTTCTTCCCTTCCTAAACTGAACACAAAGCCTCACCAGGCCTTCCTCTCAGCCCTGCAATTCATTTTGATTGCTTCATCTGGGTCTTTGTTTTTCACCTGAACCACAGCTGTTTATTCTGTTGCTTCAAAGATTCAGTGAAGTTTTGTAATAGGAAATATTTCTGCAGGATATATATTGTTCTAAAACTTAGCCACTTGGAAGCCACTTTCTGTATACATGAAGTGGACTGGGTGCCCAAGAGACTATACTTTAACCTCACAGCTAAGTAAAGAAATTATTGAATATCATTCCATTTCCTACAGTAAAATAAACAGGCTCCCTGGGGCGGGGGTGGGGTGGGAAAGCTCTGTGAACCACTGTGGCTCTTTCCTGGGACTCACCTTAAAAAACAGTCTACAGTACCCAGAGTTTATATAGCCCTTAACTTCCAAGGAGGTCACAGTGCCCCTTAATATATAGACACAATATTAATGACCCATTAGCAATAGGATAGGGGCTTGGAGTTGTTTTGCCAGCAATAGGGATGAGGCAGCACACGATCTTTTGGTCTCTTACTACTTGTGACCAAGGAAAGCCATTTTCCAGCCAGGGTTGGGCCTTGGAAGGGAGCCAAGCTAATTGATCCACAAAGTGCCCTTCCTTGACCTAGAACTTTAAACACTTCTGCTCACCAACCAGAAGTGATTCATTCTTTCAAGGCTCTTATGGTCTTCAATTCCTCACATGACTCCAGGAGAGTGGGCTCTGGATTCTGACTATCTGAATTCAAATCCTGGCTCTTCTCACTAACTTGGGTAAATCACTCAACTTTCTTATGTCTCAGTTTCTTCATCTGTAAAATAAAACTAATAATGCCTAACTCTTAAGATTGTTATAAGGATTCAAAGAGATAGTATATATCAAGTCCCGAGAGTGATGTCTGGCATATACTTGCTTCATGGTAGTTATTAGTATTCTTCACTCTTCTTCAATGAAGAAACCGATAGCTGAAGTATCTTGCTCTGCAGGATTTGGTTTGCTCTATAACCTGATGCCAAGAGCTTCTCCCATCTTCATTTGGTTATCAAACTAGATTCCTTAATAACCATTCCTTAATGCCTCCTTCCAGCCCTCAGCTCTCACCCCCTGCCCATTTTGACATTATTTGGTACTTTTTTTGGGATCAGACACTGCCATGGGTACTTCAAAGAAACATCAAATAAATATTGTCTCTGCCCTCAATGAGCTCAACAGTGACCTCTGGAGGTGGGCCAAAAGGAAGGCAACATACCCTATCACAGTGAGCATAGCCCAAACCCACTGAGATTAGGCATATGCTGACTCAGCTCCAAAATATGTTTTTAACACAAAGTTGGGAAAGTCACAATAAAAGGTCAGGGAGTTGTGTTATAAGACATTCTTGTTGTGTGTGTGTGTGTGTGTGTGTGTGTGTGTGTGTGTGTGTGTGTGTTTTAATGAGGATTTGGTTTCCTAACAAGGTGAGAAAATTCCACATCTATTGCATTATACTGGATACTATGAGAATATCTATCTATCGATCTATCTATCTATCTATCTATCTATCTATCTATCTATCATCTATCTACCTGCACACCTATTTCTTATTTCATCTGGGTACTAGGCCCTTGAAGAGCTTCCAATCTAGCAAAAGTCTTGAAACAATTTTTAAAATAATGCAACAAAAAGACAAACGTCTGATTCCACTTATATAAAGTAAAATAGTCAAATTCATAGAGATAGAAAGTAAAATAATGGCTACCAAGGCTGAGTGAAAGGGGGAATAGAGATTTAT